AAAAAAAGATTATCTTGACTGCATCCGAAATTTTCAATGATAAAAATTAGTCTTGTGTCATCACTTGGCTCCGGTTTGTCAATTCGTTGCATTGGTATTTCTCCCGCAAAACATTAACCATTATACAGCAGTATCGAAACTGAATTAGGTGATCCGTGTGTTGAGAAGTTCTGCATAGTATGGTCAACCTTAGCGATAGTACCAGCGCAGTTAAAATATCGATCTCCTCGTGTTTCAAACTGATGTTCGTCCAATCTAAAAGTATTGAGCCTGCAATTAAAAGTGGGAGACACTTTTATTTCTAAATTACCCGTTGAAAGATGACAGGGAGAAGTTTGAAGAAAATATAAAAATACCATTGAAGACGATACGCTATGACTGGTGAAAATGTGACCTTTAATATTGCGTGAGTCCCAATCAATGTATCCTGGCTCTTTTTGAAATTTTTTTTATTTCCAGGAATAACTTGTGTAAAATTTTGGGCTTAAAAGGTTTCTATTCATTGGCAAAAAATCTTCGTCTAGTTTTGATTTATCACTAACCTCCTTCAATACTAAGCCTTTCAAACGCGGCGAAAAAGATTTGTTCTGCAACAGTTGTGACGAGGGTTGCAGCTTTATCTAAATCTATATCATATCATTAAATTTTCAACCCTGAATATTGCATTTCTAATGTTCTGATTGATTTATTCAACTCCGATAATCAGCTCATATTCCTAGTCACTTCACATGGAAATACATCGCACGGAGTTGAAAAAAGCTCCAAATATCCAAATGTTCGGGATTTAATGTAGTTGAATAATTAATGATTATCTCATCAGACGCTTGTTGGATAGAGACTGGTGATACTCCGCTCGGCGCTACGCATTTCGTTGGCTATTTACCATCTCATATCCAAAATGCACTAATGCTATGATTGTTACATATCCTGGTAACAAAAAATATATATTACTGACCATTTATTTTCAGTGTCTCCCTGACTACTGCCTGCCACATTACTCTCGTCTTCCAAAAATGTTATTTTGTACGCATCCATTTGTCTCCTGGCTTTCAGGGTGTTAGAGATGCTTTCCTGTAGAAGATACGAAATAAATGAATTACTTGCTTGAAAATATGCATGTCAAAATTACAGCACATCAATTAATTCCAAAAACAGCAGAAAGTGAAAGCTGACAATGGGATTTTAGGGTGTAGTCTTCGTGTTAATCGTCTCCTGCTTCAAGATCGCTCTCATCGCTCTTGCGTCTCGCGCTAGGGAGGGAAATA